TTCTTCTTTGCTCTTTTAAACCCATGCAAATCCAAGATTGTGATGCAGCGCTACAGATCCTCCAACAGGGGCTGCGTGATGACAGCCTTGCCTTCATTGTATATAGGAAGACATATTTTTGCCGCTGGGCGTATGTGCTGGTATATGGCCGCAGTTGGGGGGTGGGGTTTAGCCGCATTCCCTCAGAGCAAACTTCCTGTGGGTCACATGTTAATGGTGGGCAGGAATGGATGCCAAAATGGGCCGAGCATTGAGTGTGACCCTTACCTGTACACGCTAGGCTCTATTCAAGCCAGGTCCTCCTCAAACCCACCTCTTTATCCAGGCAGACAAGAAACATGATCACAGTTCAAGAGCACATTCTAGACAGGCAAAGCTGCTTCAGGAGGGGGGTGGAATAGGGCTGGTGGGAGCTATGGTCAGGGAAGACGGGGCATGGCTTAGGACAGGGTTTGCCAGCTTTTTTGGATCAGTGGACACCTTTTGAATTTGGAGGCAGTCACAAAATGGCTACCATGTGGGGTGAGGGAATAACACACTAAAGGGGAGTGGGGAACAGCAGTTGTTTAGGATTCCTGTTGCCTGATGTCCAAACAATCTGCTTACTAATCACAGCTCTGACTTAGCTCATTGGCCAAAACCATGTGGATATCGCTTAGAAGGATACCAGCACATTTTGCTTCACAACCTTTTTTCTAAGAGTCCTATACTTCCCACCCCATCCCCAATGAAAGCTCAGAGTCTGGGCGCCCGCAGGCACCAGGCTGGCGACCCCTGGCCCAAGGAGCTTCCTGAGGTCTTGACGTCGACATTTGGCCCCTTGCCCAAAGTCATGTGAGGAGTCCAATTGATTAAGCCAGTAATCCCCCAAAATAGGCACCGTGGGAAATATGTTACAACATTCAGAGGTTCTGTAAGCCCAAACTCTCCATCAACAGAGGAGGAGGATCAATGCGTCTCTGAGTGAGTCTCTGCTGCTTTTTTTCCTGTTGTCTCTCTGCATGGGGGGCAACTGAGCAATCACTTCGGATGCAGCAGAATTGCCTGTCTCAGAGGCTGCTGCTCATTGAGTCTCTGTGTGAGTTTCTCTCTGCTCTGTGTTGGCTTCCTTTAGTCAGGAGGCACGCTCTGATCTGTAACTTCTCTGACCGCAGGCAAGTCTTTCATGCTCCACAAGTGAAACTTCTATAAGAGTTGGGTCTGGTGTCACCACTAGATGCCTTGGGGGCACCTGCCAGGACCTCATGCTGTTTGCTAAGATTTTAAATCTCCCACAATGCTCCAACAGGGGCAGGGGCTAGTGGGAGATTTTTTTAACTGGAGTGGTGACAGATGGCTGTGAGCTGCCAGATAAGCCTGTATTACTGTATTATTATTATTTTGTGCTTATTGCTTTTCTGTCCCACCGTTTTTTTGCCAAGGAGCACAAGGTTGCACACATGGTTCACCCCTTTCTCATTTAATTCCCCACAACAACCCTGTGAGGTAGGTTAGGCTGAGAGATGCAATGACTGGCCCCAAAGTCACACCCAGTGAGCTTAATGGCTGAGTTGGGATTTGAACCCTGGTCTCTCACAGGCCCTAGTCCAATACTCTGGCTTTCTGGAGGAGGCAATGCAGAAGAGGATCCCATAGAGGACACTTAACTGAGGTCACCCTGAAAACTGGAACCTGTTTCTCAAAGAGTGAAGCATTCCTCTAATTTTAATTGGGCGTGTTCCTCAACAATCAGATGTTTGGGGAGGGCCTCAAACACCCTAAATAACCAAGAAGTTGTAGAGCTTTCTTGGACCATACCACTTCCACCTGCAGGTGGATATTTATTTTTTTAACAAGTTTGGACGCACTACCGCTCCAATTTGCCAAGGAAAATCTCTAGGAGACCCCCTTCTTGCAAGGTGACTCCTCTACATGTGGGGAAGGGTAGTTTTTTGTCGTTCTTCTTTTTGCTTCTGGCATGGAATACTGCACTGGAAAATCTTTGCTTGATTCTGCTGAATGTTAGAGCATAATTTCCCAGAGGAGGGTATTCAGCCATCAGGGTGGGGAGAGTTTGCTTTTTAAAAAATAAATATATATTGTGGTTTCTTGTACCCATGACACAGTAAAGCTGGTTGAAAGCAATGTTTTATGGTGAGTTTTATGGACATGTGTCTCATGGTGGTACGTTGTAAATCAGCAAATCTGTTATGTTCACATAATGACGACCCCCTGTTGTTTGGGCCTTGCAGTTTGTATTCAGAGAGAGACTCCCCCTATAGTTGGAGGTTTTGTGATTTAGGTATTGTGGCAAATAGCCACTGGCAGACTCATCCTCTCTGCATTTACAACTTGTGCTGGTGGGAAGCAACTGAGCAGAACATGCACAGAGTGCAGGTTTCAGGTGTCGGAACAGCACTACAGGATCCTGACAAATACCTGCTAGATGGCATATTCATGTTTGCACCAGTTTATATCACCATCATCCCACTTTCTCAAAGAAGTTCGTGGCAGCATACATAGTCAGTTAGAGGGCCTTTTTGGTAGTGGCACCCACTCAAGGAGATGAGTAACAACTATACAACCTTTAGAAGGCACCTGAAGGCAGCCCTGTATAGGGAAGCTTTTTAAGGTTTAAGGTCTTATTATGTTTTTATATATGTTGGAAGCCGCCCAGAGTGGCTGGGGCAACCCAGTCAGATGGGTGGGGTACAAATAGTAAGTTGTTCTCGTTTTCATTCTTCTTCTTATAGTTCTCCTCATCCCCATTTTACCCACACAACAACCCTGCGAGGTAGGGTAGGCTGAGAGAGATGGACCGGTCCAAGGTCACCTAGTGGGTTTCATGACTGTGTAGGGATTCGAACCCTGGTCTCTCCAGGTCCTAGTCCAGCACTTAAACCACTACACCACACTGGCTGTTTAGATCACATCTTTCCAGCAAGGAGATCAATGCATTGAATGTCACTCTTCTCTTTCCAACAATTAAGGGATTCCCCCTTGTAAAGCGCCCCCCCCCGCCCATGCCTTATGGGGTTTGCACTGTTAGCCATAATTAAAGATCCACTGAAATCTTAAGACGCAGCTGGGTCCTAGTGCCGTCCTCACGCAAACTGCAGATTTCCTGCTAGATACGTGCTTCTGTGTTCTGTAGGCCCACAAACCTGTCCCTAGATTAAACAGTCACCTGACTGGGGTCAAATCCTTAGCCTCCTCTGCCCCCAAACTGAACCATACCCCTTTGGGGGCTGGCAGCTGAGATCCCCAAGATCTCTGCAGGTCCGTCACAGCGCTGAGCTCAGTGTCAGCAATGTGGTTGTTGAGGTGCCGGTTCAGAAATACTGTTGAAGCAAGGAGTTGATGGCAAAATCACTGCCCGACATTAAAGCAGGTCGGCTGGATCCGTGCTTTGCAGATTACGGGCCGCTTAATCTCATTTTCCATGATGAGCGAGTGTGATAGACCTATAAATAACCTGGATGGAGAGAAGGAACCTGGCGTGGTAATTAAAAACCTGCCCATGCTTTGGGTCTCGTGCCAAGGAAGCTGTTTTGCAAACACCTCGGGCAAAATGTGCACCGGGAAGCAAGCACAAATTCCTGGGGCCCGGGCGTCTTGTGTCTATTTGATGCAGTTCTTAACAAAATTTAGGGAGAGTTCTGAATAGGCGGCTTGCGAATTTGTGCATTTCTGAATATTTGCAACTCTATACAAACATTCACTCCTGCGTTTTTGACGGTATGTGACGTTCCAACTTCCTCTTGTTATGAGCAGAAACACTTGTAGCTTTTCATAAGCGAACCCCGTGCAAACACAGCAAAGTTGGGGTGTGATACACATTGTGTTGTGTTGCACGCGCAACTTGTAACTTTTAGAGTGCCTGGTTCATTCAGCAACAGTCTTGTGGGTGCTCATATTATTGATATTAGTCATTAGGATGTTACGATTTTCAACAGACGCAGATATTATCATATTTATTATTACCATAATTTGGAGACGTGTTTATTTTATATCCTGGGTATAGAATTTTAAATGGTCTGCCCTTGCAGTGGGTAGGGCTGAAATGTTTTTTTCTCCAGAGCTCCAACCTCCTCTAGGAGGCCCTGTTGGAGGGAGCGCTGAAGGGGTTAGCATCCAGAAGTTGGGGTTGTAGCCAACTAAATTGTAGACCCATTGAAATCAATGGAGCCATCTTAGCCATGCCCATTAATTTCAATAGGCATACTCTGGGTAGGGCTAACATTAATATCATTATCATTACAGTGGTAATGGGTTACATACGCTTCAGTTTACAGAAGAAGAAGAAGAGTTTGGATTTGATATCCCGCCTTTCACTCCCCTTCAGGAGTCTCAAAGCGGCTAATATTCTCCTTTCCCTTCCTCCCCCACAACAAACACTCTGTGAGGTGAGTGAGGCTGAGAGACTTCAAAGAAGTGTGACTGGCCCAAGGTCACCCAGCAGCTGCATGTGGAGGAGCGGGGAAGCGAACCCGGTTCACCAGATTACGAGACTACCGCTCTTAACCACTACACCGCACAGACTCCGCTAACCCAGAAATAGTACCTCGGGTTAAGAACTTTGCTTCAGGATGAGAACAGAAATCGTGTTCTGGCTGTGCGTCGGCAGCGGGAGGCCCCATTAGCTAAAGTGGTACCTCAGGTTAAGAACAGTTTCAGGTTAAGAACGGACCTCCAGAACGAATTAAATACTTAACCCGAGGTACCACGGTATTATTATTATTTTTTTAAAAAAATTGAAAAACGAAACAAAAAACAGCTCAGAGTGGTTTGTATGCAACCCCCTTGTTTGTTAAGTTTAAATTCTGTGGCCAGGCTGTTTCAGTGCTTCACCAAAGGTAATGGGACTTGGTCGAATTGAAGTGGAGACTGGAAACAATGCAAACCCATTCAATGTACTTTCCTAATCTGTAACGGGCGTTGGATCATAATCACAGAACCATAGAGCTGGAAGGGACCCCGAGGGTCATCTAGTCCAACCCCCTGCAATGCAGGAATCATTTTGCCCCATGTGGGGCTCGAACCCGCGACCCTGAGATGAAGAGTCTCATGCTCTGCCAACTATATAAATCCAATAGGTGTTCACAGCTTCTTACTTTGCATAACCTGCACAGTTCTGAGTCTGCATCTGTCCTGGAACTGTGTTTTGGTGTTTCAAAAGATGAGATTGTTTTTGAAAGGAGATTCCAACTAAACGTTAGGAGGAATCTTCTGACAGTGGAATGGACTCCCTCGCATGGTGTTAAATGGCCACCTGTCAGGGATTCTTGACCTGTGATCCCTGCCTTGCTCGGGGTTGGACTGGATGACCTTTGGAGTTGGACTGGATGACCTATGCTGGGTTCCTTTGAGGGGAAGGGTGGGATATAAGTTTATATAGGGATAATAATTTTGCTAGTTGCATGGAGAAGCATGAACCTTTTCAAGGCACAGACACATGACTGCAGGAGATTTTATTTGCAGGATCTTATTTAGCCTCTTTTTTGCAGGATTTCGGCAGGCATTGCCACAGCACGTCTTCCCAGTCATCAGCTGGGAACTGGATCTTCTTCTTTTTTAATTATTAAATGAAAGTTGAGATCCAAAAAAGAAAAGAAAATAGCTGAACTATCCCACTACCATGGTCCACATTCTTTTCTGCCATATTATGGAATTGTGGCATACTGGGAACACCTAGGTCCAGCAGGGGTAAAGTATACTGGAAAGGGTAGTTTCAGACCTCTGGCAAATATTCCATCCCCCAAATAAGGCCAACACACACACACACACACACACACACACACACACACACTTATTGGTAACACTGCATCATCAAGTCTTGAGCAACGTGGAAGCTTTGTTACAAGGAAAGTTGGCAGGAATTGGTATGTTTAAGCTAGATGAGAAACTTATTTATTTATCTGTTTATTTAAAAAGGTGCCCAGAGAAGCATACAGGTTACTTTTAAAAGAATAGAAAGGCAGCCCTTGCTCTCAAAATTATAATCTAAAACAGCCTTTCTCAACCTAGATGCTGTTGAACTACAACTCCCATCATTCATAGCCAGCATGGTCTTCGGTCAGGGATCATGGGAGCCATAGTTCAAGAACATCTGGGGACCCCAGGTTGAGAACGGTTGATCTAAAATGACACAAAAGGACAATAGAATGGGGGAGGGGAGGAAGAAATAAATACTCAGGTAAAAGTTCTTAGCTGCAATTTCTTCTGATCCTCATTCCTGGGCTACAGTTCCCAAACCTGGGAAGAGGGAGTGATTGTTAAACCACTCTGAGAATTCAGCAGCCTTAAGAAATGTCAGCTCAAAGAATTCTTTGGGGGAAGAAGCTGTGAACGTTTAAAGCAATTTTAGGGTTGCCATATGTCCCCTTTCCCCAGGACACGCCCCCTTTTTCATGATGAGAGTCGCCATAGAGATCCATAATTAAAAGTCGGCAAACGTGTCCTCTTTTCTGCTCTTCAAAATATGGCAGCCCTATTAGGGTGTGAATGTGGCCTAAGGGGTAATATGGTAAAGGTAAAGGGACCCCTGTCGCGAACGACTCTGGGGTTGCGGCGCTCATCTCGCTTTACTGGCCGAGGGAGCCAGCGACCAGCTTCCGGGTCTTGTGGCCAGCAAGACTACGCTGCTTCTGGCGAACCAGAGCAGCGCACAGAAACACCGTTTACCTTCCCGCCAGAGTGGTACCTATTTATCTGCTGGGCGGCTTCCAACAGAATACAGTGGTACCTCGAGGTACATACACTTCAGGTTAAATAGGCTTCAGGTTACAGACTCCGCTAACCCAGAAATATTACCTCGGGTTAAGAACTTTGCTTCAGGATGAGAACAGAAATTGTGCAGCGGCGGCAGTGGGAGGCCCCATTAGCTAAAGTGGTCTTCAGGTTAAGAACAGTCCTCCAGAACGAATTAAGTTCTTAACCAGAGGTACCACTGTATTAAAATACAATAGTCCGTCAAACATTAAAAGCTTCCCTAAACATGGCCGCCTTCAGATAGACCAATGATCAGACAGTCTAAGACAACTTCCTGTTTAAACTCAGAGCCATGAGGCCTAGTCTTACTTCATTTTTAGGGAGAAGAATCATAGCTCAGTGGTCCCAGATTCAATCTCTAGCAACTTGAGGTAGGGCCACTAAAGAGTCCTGTCTGAAGCCCTGGAAAGCCCTGCCTTTTTGAGAGAGTATTGTATATGTTCATGGAGCAATGTTTTCTTCCTCTTCTTTTTGGTCAAACTCATGCTGGTAGCTTTATGAACACTATCCAACCATCTTGTCCTCTGTCGTCCCCTTCTCCTTGTGCCCTCCATCTTTCCCAGCATCAGGGTCTTTTCCAGGGAGTCTTCTCTTCTCATGAGGTGGCCAAAGTATTGGAGCCTCAGCTTCACGATCTGTCCTTCCAGTGAGCACTCAGGGCTGATTTCCTTAAGAATGGATGCGTTTGATCTTCTTGCAGTCCATGGGACTCTCAAGAGTCTCCTCCAGCACCATAATTCAAAAACATCAATTCTTTGGCGATCAGCCTTCTTTATGGTCCAGCTTTCACTTCCATACATCACTAATACATCGCTTGCAGCTAGGAGCGATGTATTGCACCATCACACACTCAAAGTCAATATTGGGTATAAGAGTCAAGGGTGCCAATTTACAGGGGTGGCAAGGAGGCTGTCAGAAATTTGGAAAATTCTGTGATGCATGAAGAGCATAAGAATCTTCTGGATCAGGCCAGTGTCCTATCTAGCTCAGCATCCTGTTCTCACAGTGGCCAGCCAGATGCCCCAGTGGGAAACCTTGCAAGCAGGATTTGAGCACAAGAGCCCTCTCCCCTCCTGTAGTTTCCAGCAACTGGTAGTAAGAAGCATTTCTGCCTTTGACTTTGAAGGCAGAGCGTAGCCATCATGACTAGTAGCCACTGATACAGCCTTTACCTCCATGAATTTGTCTAATCCTCTTTTAAAGCCATCTAGCTTGGTGGCCATCACTGCCTCATGCAGGAATGAGTTCCATAGTTTATCTATGCACCTTGTGAAGGCTGCTGTTACAAGCTGGTACCTACCTATCAAAGGGAATATGCACCAGACCTCCTCGCCCCCTCCTCCTCCACAGCTTATAGTCCACACAGGTAAATACAAGTAAACTTAAGTGGATTATGATAAAGCAAGCAGGTGGCCTGGGAACACATGCTTGGTCACAGCTTGGAGTTGGAGGGCTGGAATTTGGCAAATGGCAAGCGAAGCTCATTTGCAAGCTGAAATGGGACCTCTGTCCAAGAGGTGCTAAATTTTACCTCTTGAAAGGCCACATATTTAAACAGAATTGGGACGGGACACAGGAATTACTGCAGCTGCCAGGCTGTGGACTTTTTATTTCCCGGGAAGCATTTGCATTCCATAGATAACTTTTCCCCATCAGGATTTGGCACCACTGTTTCTTTCTCAGACGAGTCACAGGGCTGATCTTTCAAAGTAAAATGGGTTATTGCCCAAACCTGTGGATATAAACACTGAATGGAGCGTTTTAAAGCCAAATTAAAACATCGAATATGCCAATGTTTCTTAGCACTTCCTCTGTCTCGAAACCAGACTGTGTAAAGCATATTTAGACATTTCAGTTTGGTTTTTAAATAGGTTGCTATTTGTTTATATGTGAGTGAAGTTAAGTGAAGCATTTTTGGATTATTTTGTAATATCACTTTTCCTGACGTTTGCATCTGTTTTTAATTCTCTTTTGGTCAGGGTTTCCTGCTCCCAGTCATTCAATGCAGTCTGATATCATAAAACTCCATGGCCAATCAGATGTAGCTGTGTGATGACATCACAGAGGGCAGGTGAAGGCTAGTGAAGAGAATGCAAATGAACAAACATTTCCGTAAGGAATAATAAATGCAACACAAAATGGAATTTCCATAAAGCCCCCCCCCCCCCCCGCATCAGCGCTATGTGTATGGGTGACTATTTATTTAAAACTGAAAGTAGTTTTGATTCATGCATCTCCTGGTTAACAGAATGACAGGAAAAGATGCAAAAGCAAAAATAGGGTGTTTATAAATTCCCTCCCCCCATTTCTCTGGATATTTTGGACCAAAATAACCTATGTCACCAATGTGATTTTGATTTCTGGACTCCATTAAACTTCTTGTAGGCTCAGTTTGCTACGGCTTCCCTGCTTCATGCTCACCTTACCAGTTATTGCAATCATTTGCACTATAAAAATAGGACTGTGAAAAAAGAGGAAGAAAGAAAGGATCTTGATCTGTCCATCATGATCGCCCGTCCACATTGGGGCAGCGGCAGGGGAATTCAAGAAACTAATACTTCAGAAACCATGGAGGTACCAGTTATGAAATGAATTAACTTTCCAGGTTAATTCCAAAAGAAGGTGAAGCGGGATGCTGGACTAAGGATTTGCTGCTTTCCCACAGAGAAAACCGATTCTTTGCCCCTGAATTGGAACAAACATCAGCCATGCTTTCTGCAGATGGATGTTTGCTCTGATTCAGTGCTAAAGAGCAGGTTTTCCTGGGGAAGGCGGATGGGGCAAACGGGAAACCACTCGGACCTGTGGCTCAAAAGCATGGAACAAGCCGAAAACCACTCAGACCCATGCTTTCTAAGAAGGGGAGAAACAGAAGTGTGGATGTGTCAACTCAAGAACCAGGGAAATCGCCCCACCCCAAAATAAACGATGCATCATTTATCCAGCACTAAGCTTGGCTCAGAATCTCAATTTCTTCTTGAGCCCTCTTGCTTGCTTGGGAACCCCACCAGAGGAGCTCCCGGCTTTAAATAGGTTTTCGATTAGCTGTGGATTACCCCTGGTAGACCTTCCTTGTTTTAATGTCCTTGTCTTTCATGCTGGCTTTTTACTGGGATCACCTGTCTTCCTTAGTTAAGAAGGGGCATGAATTATTCACTGCCAGGTGAGGACGCTCTGTTCGCTGCACCTCCCGGAGACAGCATGACGCTGGTCTCTGTTACAGGTCTCTGCAACTGGATCTCCGGGGGCTGTGAGCAACATGGCCAGGGGCTCATTTGGGGAGGGACTTGTCACCTTGCGTGTTGGCTAAGAGGTAGCGCTCTATTCTG